GTCGGAAAATAAAGTGACGAAAATGGTGATTCCGAGCCGAACAAAGATGGTCCACGAAATCTGAAAGTTTGAGGAAGGACTTTACCGATGAGGAAGAAGAGAGAGTGCAAGACAAAGTCTTTGTTAAGCACATACCGTGGGATGATCAGAACGAGAAAAATTATGGGGTAAATTGTCCTAAACAATCGAAAAATCGTAAAGCGCAAAGGAATGGGCTTTAAGCTAAAAAAAAAGTACGGTCAATGTATCGATTTTTAGCTGAAAACTTCGTATCCGTCTTATGAAAAAACATAGTAGTATTTATAGGCAGTTCACCTGCTCGTGTTCGGATACGGGTTCCACGTCCTTAAGATAGTTTGGGTTTGTGCTTCTTAGTCTAAAATGTACGTCGTAATCTAATGTTTTTCACCTACTTTCTTTGTCTTCTCATGCCACTTGGCTGACTGTAGGGGTCGGATTCCACCCCTGTAATATCAAAGCCACAAAATGGCTAAGTATGGAAACTGCATGACGAGATGACATGTCTGGCAGGACAGACTGGGTCTTGAGCTGCCTTATCTGGCATGACAGACTGCATGACAAGGTGACATGTATGGCAGGACAGACTGGGTGACAAGCTGCCTTATCTGGCATGACAGACTGCGTGACAAGGTGACATGTCTGGCAGGACAAACTGGGTGTTGAGCTGCTTTGTCTGGCATGACAGACTACGTGACAAGGTGACATGTATGGCAGGACAGACTGGGTGACAAGCTGCCTTATCTGGCATGACAGACTGCGTGACAAGGTGACATGTCTGGCAAGACAGACTGGGTGACGAGCTGCCTTGCCTGGCATGAAAGACTGCGTGACAAGGTGACATGTATGACAGGACAAACTAGGTGACGAGCTGCCTTGTCAAGCATGGCAGACTGCGTGACAAGGTGACTAGTCCAGCAAGACAGTCTTGGCGACAATGTGACCTGTGACGGACTGCACGACGGTGCTGTCGAAATGACAAGACTAGAGCGCCAAGCCTGGCCAGGCCAAGAACACTACTTAGCGGCAAAGTCAAATTCGTAATGGAGAAGTGGGTTTGCAGAAGCATGAAGCCCATGACGAGGTGCAGCCCGTGATGGACGAGGTGGGCCGAACCTAAGGCATGACGAGGTGGGCCGAGTAGGTCGCGGCAGCCCATTAGGAGTGGCTGATTTCATGGAAAGGAAACTTCTAAAGGATAAGGAAAGCTTCCTATTTTCTCTAGGGTTACCTAGCTGACCTAGTCTGCTATAAATATTAATGTAACTTCCTCAAAAAGGGGATCCACAATTTTTTGCACCGAAACTCTTGTATTCTTAAGCTTTGACGGAAACGGCAATAAGAATCATCTTCAATCCTTTGTGCTCGTGATTTCATACTTAGAAAACTTAATCCTCTTCAAACTCTTGACAAATCTAGCTGTGCATGTTCTACCATCCACAGTTTGGCGCTGTCTAAGGGGAACACCAGATCTTCTTACTCAAAGGAATCACATCACAAGCAACCTAGAAAATGAACGACGGACGCATCGACAACACCGGTGACAGACGCATCAACGACACTGATGGCAACCGCGTTGACGACACCGGTGACAATCCCGGTGACAAGGAGGTCGACACAGATCTTACCGGAAACACTACGCAGAACGACAACCGAGTTGCAACGGATGCGACGCCTGCACTAGAAGTGTTAAATCAGATCAAGGCGGCGATGGACGCGATGCTCAAGAGGCAAGAGAACAAAGACAAGGTCAACTCCGCAGTGAACGAGAGACTCGACATCCTCACCACGGCAAGCCGCGGCTGAGGTCAGAGCCTGTTTAGGCAACCAGGAGGGCGACTCGCCCGACCACCCTCGTCTCAACCCCAGATGACAACTGTGTGCCAAGGTGACATGTATGGCAGGACAGACTGGGTGACAAGCTGCCTTATCTGGCATGATAGACTGCGTGACAAGGTGACATGTCTGGCAGGACAGACTGGGTGACGAGCTGCCTTGCCTGGCATGACAGACTGCGTGAAAAGGTGACATGTATGGCATGACAGACTAGGTGACGAGCTGCCTTGTCTAGCATGGCAGACTGCGTGACAAGGTGACTAGTCCAGCAAGACAGACTTGGCGACAAGTGGCCTGTGATGGACTGCACGACGGTGATGTCGAAATGGCAAGATTAGAGCGCCAAGATTGGCAAGGCAAAGAACACTACTTAGCGGCAAAGACAAATTCGTAATGGAGAAGTATGTTTGCAGAAGCATGAAGCCCATGACGAGGTGCAGCCCGTGATGGACGAAGTGGGCCAAACCCAAGACATGACGAGATGGGCCGAGTAGGTCGGCGCAGCCCACTAGGAGTGGCCGATTTCATGAAAAAGAAACTTCTAAAGGATAAGGAAAGTTTTCTATTTTCTCTAGGGTTACCTAGGTGACCTAGTTTGCTATAAATATTAATGTAACTCCCTCAAAAAGGGAATCTGCAATTCTTTGCACCGAAACTCTTGTATTTTTAAGTTTTGACGGAAACAGCCATAAGAATCATCTTCAATCCTTTGTGTTCG